AGAGAGAGAGAGAGAGAGAGAGAGAGAGAGAGAGAGCCTCAAAGCCCACCTCTCAGGGTCATACTTCCTCTAACAAGGCTCTACCTACCAAAGGTTCCATAACTGCCCAGTGTGACCAAAGCAGGGAACAAGTGTTTAATTATATGAACCTCTGGGTGACATTGTTAATTCAAACCACTACAGGTAGTTTTGTAAATGGGCTAATGTCCATTTAAAAGAAACATTTAAATTTATGATCACTAATCTCTTCTACAGTTTTAAAATTGCTTTGTTGTATTTGAATATAAAAATAGAAAAATATAATAATGGATGATACAATGGAAAGGACAAGAAGATCTCAGTGCATGAATTAAGTAAAAATCAATCTAGGCAAAGATCAGGAGACAAGTGGCTTGTTGATGTGACATTCAAAACACTAGCTGGGGCAGATAACTGATATTACTGAGGAGTGAGACTATGGATATAGCATGCTAGACAAGCAGAAGAAGAGGAAGGAACAGGAGTTATTGTTCAGAGTTCTGGGCAGCTGAGCATTTGGACAGTTACCAAAGACTGGGCTTCATTTGATGAGTGGAAGGAACCAGAAAGCAGTATACAGAATGAGGAAATGCAGACCAGAAAAACAAATGCCACATGCTTTCTTCCATCTGTGGATCCAGCTCCAAAGCTTTGGATATGAGCGTACAACCTGTAGTAACCAGAAGAGTAAAAGGGGACTGTGGGGGAAGAGGGATATTAGGAACTCTGGATAGTGGAAAGTAGCACACAGGCAATATGAAGTGGGAAGGGGTCAACAGGAGAAGGGGACTTCTCTGGGAGAGGAGTGAGGAGAATATAAAGGGAGAGATAGGGAGGTGGGATAAACAACACTAAGATGCTTGAAAACCCCATTGGGAAACATTATCATATATATGTATTTTTAGTAAACATTATTACCCACTGTAGGTATGAGCAACCTCCCTTCAGGCTGTTGGTCAAGGACTCAGAAAGTTCCCAAAAGAATATAAGCTATTGCTGGAGCCTTTGATTGTCTCCTAAAACGTAAGAGTCCTTCGTTAGAGTATCTTTAGAGTGTTAAACTACCCCCCAAAAGTCACAGCCAGTTGGAAGTGAATTTAATTCCAAGAAAGTCATCTGCTTTTATACAAAATGTTCTATGACTTGTGTTTCATAGGAAGCTTATACCTTAAGTTCTTATTATAGTTTTCCTAACATTCTTTATGATATGACGTCTCATGGCTGGGCTTTCTTTCATTAATCAGTATTGTATTATTAGCAATTTATTGGTGCAAGAAATCAAATTAATCATGAACTCGATTGAATATGAAAAGTAATAAGCATGTCATCCAAGCCTTGGAAAAGGCTTCTTCACTAACGTTTCGTAGCCATCCTCACTCAAGCCTCCCTGGCCATTTACCTGCAGGGCCAGTCAGCGCCTGTTCTGTGGTAAACTGAAATGGACCATTCAGACAGGCATGAATAGAAAAAGAGCAAAGGCTTTAGGAATCGATGACAGCTTTGCTGGAGTATGTGGTATAGCTGAGGACACTACCACAACACACTGATACTTTCCTTTTTTGGCTTCATCCAGTAGCAGAGCTGTTCTGTGGAGCACAGTGCTTGACCAAATTCTCCAGAGGCAGAATTATAATTTAGGGGAGACTTTTTGATGTCTGAACCATAAAATAATAGACAGATTCCCTTTTGGTTATATCTATCCACCAGGATTAAATTGGAATTAACAATGAAATAAAAGTTTGTCTATGAAAATTGCTTAAATGACTACATCTTTTTTCTCACAGTTGTCTTACAGGTGGGCATTTCCTGTTATAAGACCAAGTGGCCCAGTAAAGAAGCACAGAAACACTAGAAATGGCTTTTCTCAATAATGAGCAGCTAAACCACGCAGCATACACGGGACCTCTTCGATCTTTGCTAATAACAAGGAAGGCAGCTCCTTCCTATCATCAGGACAAAGGATGAAGCAGATTGCACAGCTAATGGGAGAATCCGTTCCTCTTCCCACTCATGAGTGGGCAGGCTGCGGAGACTTGCAGATTGCAGTTTGGGAGCACTTTTCATTAAGGATCCCACATAGTTACAAGAAAGTCCATGACCTTAATGCCAAGAACAACTCAGTATTTTCTTTGGTGTACTCACAGAACACTGAAGATGGCTTTTCTAGTCTGACCAAGACTGAGAAGACAGGAGGAAGCAAAGCAAGGTGGAATAGGACAACAGCCCAGACACTGCACAGGAGATGGCCTATGATCTGGAGAAACGGGACTCTTAGAGAAACCTTAAAACCATATGAAAGACAGCTAGTGCAAGAGCTCAACACAGCACAGCTCTCAGGTCTTTCACGTCTACTTGAGTAATGCAGAGGGTTCCCCTGTAAACTCCGAGAGTGCCAACAACCGAGAGGGCATCCCATGCCTTCCTCAACAAGGGTCTGTGAGTAGAGTCTCTAGGTTAGACCAGTATCAAAGGAATGCAACCAAAGCTAAAAGATCCCAAGGTTTGAGAATGTTCTCTAGGTTTCTATCTGGGTAGTTACGTTATCGAGCAAAAGAGTTTTGCATTTATTTATCCAGGTACGCAATGTTAAACAGGACATCTATGACAAAGTCCTCTGTGAAAACCTGGCTTATGGTTCAGTAATCAGTTCCATATACATTGGAGTCTCTGCAGTGATTAGCAAGTTGTCCCAAACCTTCAAACTATACCCAGTTCTGAAAAGACACCTAAAAAAACCCAGGAGCAACCACCCTTTCGCAAGGCTTCAGTATATTGGGACAGATTTTTTTTTTCTCAAGACTTACTTGGGGCCTAAGATATAATCTAAAGTATATTTTAAGTTACTGATGAAAAATTTCATGGCATCTATTTTACCACAAAAACAACAGATTTAAAGTGAATATATGGTCTATTCAATCTGGATAACTAGTCTGTTGCATTGACAAAACGTTGTATCATTCATCACATTCTTGGAAAGATCTTGTATGATCCTGGTTCTTTACTATATAAATGTGATATGTAAATAAGGATATAAAATGCAATACATCACAATTAGAATGCATACAAACTAATTAATGTTATTATCATATAGCCCAAAGGAAATAGTCTATATAATCCAGTGTTCATTTCCTCTGACTTATTTGATATAATTATTTTCTGACTTACAGAGAAATCACTTTACATCAGTGACTTGAAGCAACCTTATATTATTAAAATTTCTTTATTTAAAATGTTTTAAACCAATCTTTATTATCTGTTTATTATGACTAATGCATTGAATCATTTTCTAGATATTCTTATCTAGTTCCTGTAAGTGTAGCGAAAGTAACAGTCTCTGTTCTCATTTAGGCAAAATTTTCAGCCTAAATTGTCTTAAGAAAACTAAATAATGGAAGAGATTTTAATGCCTCGAACAACCTCACAATAGCAAGGTTTTTTTTCCTCTCTTTTTTATTTATTAATTAAATTTTTTCACTTATTTTACATCCTGGCCTCAATTTCCCCTCCCCCCCTCCTCTCCTCAGGTTTCTTCCCTTCCTTGGCTCCCTCTTCCCCCACCTACTCCTCCTCTGTCTCCCTTCAGAAAGTGGCAGGCCTCTCATGGGTGTCAACAAAGCATGGCACATCAAGATGAGGCAGGACCAAGCTCCTCCCCCTGCATCAAGGCTGGGCAAGGTAACCCAGCAGGAGGAACAGATTCCCAAAAGCCAGCTCAAGCACCAGGGACAGGTCTTGATCCCACTGCTAGGGGCCCCACAAACAGACCAAGCTACACAACTGTCACACACATGCAGAGGGCCTAAGTCAGTCCCATGAAGGTTCCCTAGCTGTCAGAGCCCAACTCAGCTGTCTCTGTGGGTTCCCCTGTCATGACCTTGACCCCCTGGCTCCTACAATCCCTACTCCTACTCTTCAACAGGGAATTTGACCCAGTGCTTGCCTGTGAATCTCTGCACCTGCTTCCATCAGTTACTGGATAAAGGCTCTCTGAACCATATCTCAAAGAAAGTAAAGGAGGAAGTACACAGCCACTGATCACATGACAACCTGGATTCTTTAGTGATGATTGGTGGAACTCAGTTGTAAGATGGGCTAGGCAACCATACATATACTATGAGTTTTGCTATTATTATTGAATAATATTAGCTGAAGCAAAGTAAAACTTGTTTCATCTCCTGGCTGGATAATAAGGCACTTTAAACATGTAACAATGAAGAATGAAATATATTTCCGCTTTTATGTTAAAAATATTATTGTACTATGCCCAACATAAAGCTTCATCAAACATAAACTAGATGAATGTAAACATGCATGTACAAATATGACCATATCAACATACTATTTACTTCTGTTTTTCAAAGCTCTCATCATTATCTTTTTTATAAATAAAAAAAAATTAAGTTTCACCAATGCAACTTATTTACAGAGGAAAGGTAAGGAGTTGGTTTTGGAACTGAGGCACATTCTGGCTCATGTTTCAATGTCCTCTGCAGTGAGACATCTTTCTAGGATTCTGTTTGGGTTTTAGTCTTTGTTCGTATTTAACTCAAGCACACACTGAGACTTGCATCTGCAGTAGAACTTAGAATTCACCTACAGATCATACTTTCCTATCTCATGATTTTGCATGGAAGGTAAGTGAGGACCTGGGAAGTACAGCCACACAAGAAAGCAAAACACACAGTGACAGACTGGAACTCTACCCTGACGTCTTTTGGATGCCACCAAAGCACATTTTCTCTGGATGATCACAGCTGAGCCTCTGGAAGCAATCACACGGTTATGCCACTGAGTTGATAGATGCATGTTTCTCTTAGCATCTTATGAGTAGAATTAGTTCAAATATGTCTTAACATGTTTCTGAAATTATTTGATTAAAGCCCTCCAGCCCAGATCAGCAGTGTATCTGTGACCTGTTGTCCCGACGCTCTTCAGGCACGCAACATAATAAGCACCGAATTTTACTGAGACACTGTACTTACCTTCATAGGTCCCACTTTCAAGGAGAGCACCACTTTTCTCCAATTCCATAAAATCCTCCACGGTTATGAAAATGTAGTCCACTCCAGGGACCTCCCCCTCCTTATGTGGCCTTGTGGTGCCTGGGTAGGAAGAATTAAAACAAAAGAGACCATCTAAGGCTCATGTTGCTGAACTTCAGAAATGCCACCATACTTTTGAATATTCAATACCACTAGTTTGTTCACCCTGTGGGGCTGGCAGTTTGCATGTGTCCTTCTGTTTGTTTGGCAACAGCAAACAAAAGTGGGGGGGAGATCAAAGTCAACGGACAAAGCATTGTTTTCATTGAGCTAACAGAGTTCACTGCCCTGGAATGTGGCTGAACAGATTCCGTTCAGTGAGAACTGCAGACCATTGTACCCCATTTGAAGAGGTGGGTTGAATACTGGGCCAGGAGTCTACATACTGAGGAATTTACATGCTTTACTCCCATGAACGGACTTTGGTTGTTCTACAGGCTGCTGTCTTTTGACATATGAATAAAATGGGAAGATAGAAGTTTTAAGCAAATGTCAATTTATCTTGGTGCTCTTCTGATACGCTTCCTTTGAGGGGTGGGGTAAAAGCTTCAAATGGTGTGTTATTTTGCACCAAAATAATAAATATTTACATATTAAACCTGAAGGGTCACAAAATATGTACTAGTACTTCAAATTTAATAATAATTGGAACTGACTGATAATTAAAGTTGCATTAATAATTATAATGGCAATAATATGACATATAAGTTAATGGGCATTCTTTTCAATATTTCTCTATGTGGATTGCATTTCTTCTTTTATTTCTTTCTCTACTTCTGCCTGGGGTGGAAGGTAATACTTTCCCCAGGGTTACCATACTCAACAGTGGTCTTGCTCACTATATCCCTTACAGAGGGAATGGAGCTATAGTGGGCCAAGTGGATAAGACCCCCAGATGCTCTCTAGAGAACACACAGTATTCTAGGCTTGCTGTCCAGATCATAAAGGAGAGCACATATAGAGAGACAGTAAAGGCCAACAATGTCCCAATTTCCCTTTCTATATTATCTACATACAGTATTTTTGCATGGTCAGAGTGAAATTTACTTAGTGCACACATACAAATAGATACACAGTTATAGAGAAAAATGCAGAAGCAAAATGTTACATTGGCAGGCATCTTTATAATTAAATATCCCCTATATGGTCTACATTATAGAAAAAAGTCTTAAATTCATTTTATTTTGAGTCTTTGATTTTTAAATGTTTATTAGCTTTGCCATGAAAGTAGCCAGTTAATTGTATTTTGAGTCTATTAGGATCAAATCTGAACTGCAAGCAAGAGTTACAAACTAGTGCCAAGAATGAATAATGCATATGCTATGGAAATTGATGATGTAAAAATAATTCTTAGTAGATTTTTTAAAGTCAAAATGTATTATTTTCCTAGAGTTAAGTCTTCCAAACCTTCTTTGGGGGGCTGCAAAACATTTTGGTTTTAATCACGCTTTGATGACTTGCTCCTGAAATTGTTATTTTATATAATTTAATTAAGCTACCTTGTGCAGTATTTTCTGTAGCTTTTATGCTATAAAATATAAACTTCCCACACCCAATATGCATAATTTGTTGTCAAATTAATGTTTCTATGAGAACTTTAACTTTTAATATCCTGACTTTTACATGCTTAACCCTTATGAATTAAAAAGACATTAAAAGAGTTTTTGGCAATCAATTTGTTGTTCTGTTTATTTAGGGTACACTCTAATCATTAAGCAAAATTGCATAACAAAGACTTAGTTTTCCTAACTAATTTATCTCCATGTTTCAGAAGTCACGTGCTTTGATTAATTCATGCCTGCTCTATGATAATACATTCACAGAACAATGGAAGCTCAGGAGTGTATGCTTCAGGCCAAATCCAGAGCGACAAATTCTAGGGAAGATGCTTTGTGGCTCTGCTCTTCTTCATTCAGTGAGTGTTTTCCCATCCCCACATTGGGCCACGGCGGTGGGGGGGGGGGTTTGTATCCATACCACCTGTAAGACTCTCTATCCTTTTATTGCATGCTGACAGTCCCTGGGCACTGCACAGCCTCACTGTCTCTAAGGAGGTTCTCCAATCTTAGTGCTACACTTGGATTGGGACATTGGTCCTTCGCAACCTTGCTTTTCTGTTTCATAAGTGATGACCTCCAGTTCCTTGATTTCTCTTTTCTCCTACACCTAACCTACATCGGCTTCATTTGCCTTCTGTCCACTAAGGTGTGAGAACAACCTGGTATCTCTTCCACCACTTAATGTACCTTCATTTCTCACTTGTAGTAAGACCCACAGTGTATTGACAGACAAAGGGTGCTCCAGGAAACTAGACATTTGAACTTTGAAGATTTCAATGGCTTATATCAGCTTGATTCTGCCCACGATGGGAATTCTTTATACATGTCTTCCTAAAGTTGTGTGACATTCTCTTCATTTTTTATGACTCAACTGTTTGGCTTTCTGCAGAAGACACAAGCTCCTTTCTTGGTAAAACAGATGATGATTTAAGTCAAACCCTTCACTACCTCAACTTGCTTTGCCTGCATTATGATTCACATTTCATACTTTCCTTCAAAAATAACACTTGATTACAATTAATGCTTCTATCTTAGATGAGGCCCTTCTCTTTTGCTTAGTTTCAAATTTTAATGTTTTTCAAACCTAGAGGCTACATGTATATATTCTTTCAATTTCAAACAAATTTATAAGGTTTCCTTTAATGTAATAGGTAGCTATTACACTCTTACCTTCACACACATGCACACAAACATGACATACACCACACAGACACAGACAGACAGACAGACACACACACACACACACACACACACACACACACACACACACACACACACCTTTCCTTTACTCAGGGTCAAGTGTGCTCCTATTTTGTTTTGCTTCCAAACCTCTAAATGATTTAGGATGCCTATTGATTTTTCTGCCTTGGTCATTATTTCTTGGTTTGCCACTCATGAAAAGGGTATTTTCCTTACTCAAAAACACCATGTCCTACTCTCTTCTCTCCCTTCCTTCCTTTTCATAGAAAACTTGTATTTGGATGATTGCCTACTGCATACATTTGATATTATGTAAATTGTTCCCATCTGAATCTTGATTACTTTTTCCTTTCTCAAGTAATTTCTGATTACTCTAGATGTAATGTTTTTGTTTCAAAGTTTACACAGATGAACCAATTCAATTGACAAGTTCTCTCTTTGTTAGATAAAGCCTTTTCAAAATATGAAATTATATTTAGTATGCATCAAGTTTCTCTGGCTGAAGAAGTTACTCCTGGAGCCCTTGAACCTGCTCCAATCTGTACCTGGTCAGCCCTGCCACAGCTGCCACCAGCCTGAGGACTGCCATCGCCTCTGCCCTGTGCAGAACTCTGCTTCCCCAGATCTCAGGACTGTTTTTGTGGTTTCCACCCTCATGTTGGCAGAGCCAATCATGCAGAAGCTTCCTTCCTGTGAAGGGTAGCACGGAAGCCACACTGTTCTGAGATTTCACATGATGGAAATCGTCTTTATTCTACCTACACTGCAGGGGAATTTGACAGCATTTCAGGGACATCTCATGGTAAAAACACACTTCTCCATCTTGCTCTGCTCAGATTTTCACCGGCATTCTTTCTGGAAACTTTCCCTGATGTCACTTTCTAGTCCTCCTTCCCTCTCTCATCTCACTTCTCGGTGTCATCCTTCCGTCCCTCTGATGCAAGCACTGCTCTCCTGGACTAGGCAATGGACAAGGCCATGCACCCTCTCTCTATTAGGTGGTACTATTCTCACTAGCTTCCTATTTATTTATTCTCTTGCCAAGAGAGGTGGTTGAAAATGTGGAGAGGGGAAAATGCTGAAAGCTTTGGCGTCAGAGGATACTCAAGCACACCTTATCAAGGTAAGATCCAGGGTGCACCAAACTATAGTTGTTTTTACAGGGACTTGCCTTCATGGGACATGTGAGAAGATATAATTTAAGAATTTTCAGGCCAGGCATGGTGGAAGATAACTTTAATTCCAGTACTCAGGAGACTTAGGCAGGTGGAGGTCTGTGAGTCTGAGGTCAGACTGGTCTACACAGGAAGTTCCAGGTCAGCAGCCAGGTCTATACAGTGAGACCTCACTTACAAATAATAATAATAATAATAATAATAATAATAATAACAATAACAATAATAACAATAATAATAAAAGAAAAAGGAAAGAAATAAACTATTTTTTCAGATAAGTGAATATCTATTTTGCTTTCTCTTTAATCTACACTAATAGAATGACTTTTTTGCTAGGAGGAAAAATACTTTTAAGTGGTATGTTATTGTAGACAAGAGTGTAAGCTATGCTATGAGACTAATCACTGTCTTTGTAAGCTAATACATGGAGCAAATTAAGCAATTCCTATCGGTAGTTCAGATAATGTCTGACACATAGCAAGCATTTGACAAGAACTGTATTGTTAGTATTGTGGTGCTGAGTAGAGTTGGCATTCTAGATTGCTTTGATTTTATTAATTCATGCTGTAATATTGAGCACTTATAATGTACTAAGCAATATTATAAATGCATATGATAGAATTCGTAAGACCACAGAATACCACTGCTCTTGTAGAACTTATATTTTAATAAAGAGAAGGAAAACAAAATTAATTGAAAAGTATGTTATATGGAGCATTTTATAATAAGGTAGAAGTTCTATAATTGGTCATAGACCAGGTCATTAGGACCTATGCACAATGTACTGGTCAACTGCCGAAATTTCTAAGTATTAGCAAATATCGGGTAAAGGTTGAAGAGAGAAACTGTGAGGAAAAGACCTCAAGGGAAGTCATTACCTGCAATGCTGTGGGCTTCAGGCTTCTCAGAGAGACTATGGACCTCTGGGAACCAACAGAAGAGCCACCAAAGGCTTTTTCTGTTGTTGTTGCTTTTGTTTTTGTTTATTAAAAAGGGCACTAAATTATTTAAAATAATTTTTATATATATGTATAGACATACATGTACACACACACATACACACACACACACACACACATACACACACACACACACACACACACACACACACACACACATATATACT